CTGATAGGTCTGTTAGCATAGTTAAATATGGCAGTGGTTAAAGTTATTGTTTTCCCATAGAGAACAGAACAAGGCCTGCAGTGGGTTTAGGGTTGTAATACTTCTGAAATCATAGAATTGCCTGAGCCGGAAAGGACCTCAAAGATCATCTAGTGCCATGCCAGGGACACCTTCCACTAGACCAGCTTGCTCAGAGCTCCAGTCTGACCTTGGACACTTCAGGGATGGGGCATCCATAGCTTTCCTGGGCATTTTGTTCCAGTGCCTCACTACCTTCACAGTAAAGAATTTCTTACTAATATGTAATCTAAACCTGCCCTTTTTTCATTTTGAAGCCATTCCCCCTTGTCCTGTCACTACCTACTCTCTCCATCTTTCTTGTAGGCTCCCTTCAGGTATTGAAAGGCAACAGTTAGGTAACCCTGAAGCTTTCTCTTTTCCAGGCTGAACAATCCCAATTCTCTCAGCCTTTTCTCATAGGAAAAATTTTAATCAACTTGAGGGCCCTCCTCTGGACTTGCTCCAACAGGTCAATGTCCTTCCTGACATGCCTTCCTAGGCATGAGCTACATATAATGAAGGTGTATACAGAACAGTTAAGTAGCAGTATTCATTATTTTGGAATAACATCCATAATGAAGCTGATAAATAGATACGAAGTTATGCTTGTTCTCTTTTTGGTATTTACATCATCTTTCTCATACCTTTGAAAGCTAACTTTTGACTGGAATGCTGACCTGCAGGGATAAATTTTATGTTCCCTGTGCTGCAAGTATGTTTAAAAAACAAAACAAAAGCCCTAGATAAAACACAATTACAAAACACACACATGCTAACCACTCATAAATAAAATATTTTGAGGATCTCTGAATGCTACTGAGAGAGTAACATCAGTACTACAGTTGCCTATCCAGTATTAAAGGGCAGGAGTTCTAGTAGAAGTACAGACATTTTTCATTTCAGGCCACAACTACTTACTTCATTTATTGTAGAAATTTGTAACCTTTGGATTAAGGTCTCCAAAGTTCTAATAAAGCCACATTCTTCTGCAAGCGAGTCCCATCTCCAGCAAATCTTAACGCTCTTGTTTTGTGTGCTTAGGGTGAATATTTTGATCAGTCGCATGTGGCTCTACCAAATATTTCAAAGTTCTTCTTGCATCAAGCTCTGGAAGAGAGAAAAGCCGCAGAGGCATTGATGAAGTATCAGCAAGAAAGAGGAGGCCACTACTGTTCTAAAACCATCCAGGTGAGTAGTAGACAACAAGCTTTCAAGCAGCTGCAGTCTATTGGTACTTCAGATCTCTGCATTCATCCATTATGAGATTTCCAGATATAATTTACCTGACATATTAGTGTACATGGTTTTGTTCTTGATTGTGATGCTTAGAAACTGTCAGACATACAGTCCTAACACTATGTGGTTGCATTCTAGCCCAAATGAATATGAACAGTGTTTTTTCCTTTTACTCAGCTGGACACTGATGTTTCCAGCATGCTGTAATGGATTATGAGACTTCTTAAACTGTGCTGAAACAGCCCACTTGTCTCCTTCACACTGAGTAGAAGCCTAGACATGATTACCACCTTTATTTAAGACCAAGGGGCTGATTCTCCTCTACCAAATTAGTTTTCTGTAAATAGTTAATACAGAATGCTCTTCTTTGGTCCATCACAGCAGTTGTTAAGCTGTAGAAAGTAAAAAGGCCATTGTGAAAATCTTTCTAAATAGTCAGTTTGAAATGGGGAAGACCTTAGGGTGGCCTTTCAGTACTTAAGGGAAGCCTACAGGAAATAGAGGGAGGGACTCTTTCTCAGGGAGTGCAGTGATAGGATTAGGGACAAGAATTTTTAACTGAAAGAGGGTGGATTTAGATTAAGAAGAACCTCTTTACTGTGAGGGTGGTGAGACACTGGAACAAGTTGCCTGGAGTAGTGGTAAATGGCCCATCCCTGAGAGTGTTCAAGACCAGGCTGCAGGGGGCTTTGAGCAGCCTAGTCAAGTGAAAGGTGTTCCTGCCCACAGCAGGGGATTGGAATGAGATGATTTTTTAAGGTCCCTTCCAAACCCAGCCATTCTATAATTGGGTTTCCTTGTGTAAGAATGCTTCTCAGACATAGCTGCTGCTATCTAAATCCATTCCTTGAAAAAGTGCTTGGGCCCTGCTACCTGTGTGTGTTCACAGCCATGGCACTCTGTAAAAAATAGATGCTCCAAACTAGGAGCTGTTGCAAAGTCCTAGTACAACTTGTTTGGAGCACCAGATTAAGTTGCAGGAAAACACTGATGAATACAGGAAGATCAACTGTTCTGAATAAATATAATTCTGTCTTTGTTTTTAGAAACCAAACTGTGATTATGCAGTCGGTCTGATGAAAGCCTTGGAATTAGCAATGGTACAGTGGAAAACTATGCTACGATATTTTGAAGAGCTTTATGCCCTGAGTGTTGAAAATGCAGACCCTCATAGTGCAAGCACTATGAAGAAGCAATTTATTGCACCCAAAATCCGGAAGATCAAGCTAATGGGAGATCTACTGACCAATGCTCGCAGGCTTGACTGTTCCCAAGATGGCAGAAATAGTCTTGGGGATTACTTCATGGACCGGCTGCAGAAAGAGTTCAGAACAAGCATAGAGCCAGAGTCTAGTGATCACTGCAGCCCCTGCCCACCTCTGCAGCAGTGCACAGGAGCTGCAGAAGGTCTGAAGCGACCCCAGAGAGAATCTTTCCAGCACAGAAATGGCATAGGGCCAATATATGCAACTATACACTGCACTACGATGCTGCCACAGTGTAACGATGGGACAGGAGCAAAAGTGAAGCAGGGCAGGGAGGGCCTTTAATGCTGTGGCTGCTATGGGGCAGCTCCTAAGGCAAACCTTTACAGAGGGTGGAGTTGGGACCAGAACTCAGGAGACATGATCCTGTATCACTCCTGTTTTACACCCTGCCCCCTCATCCTCTTTTGAGTCACATCTCAAAATCTAGCCCATACCATTATTTTGTTTAAATGATAGCAAGGTTGCCAGCTACCTAGATTGTCAGCACTAGTCACATTTAATCTATGCAATTCTTCCTAGAAGCCAAAAGCTTTTAAGCTTCTTTTCTGTTTTAAATGATTAACAGGATTATTTAGTGCAAATTTTTAACAATATATATAATTTTTATTAAAAAAAAAAACCACTGCAGCTTTAGTACAAGGAAACTTTTATGTGGCAGGAAATCCAAATATTTAGTTTTATATTCCTGAATATTCCTGAATATATATATATTAGATATTTTACATTACTAACAAGTATACTAGCATAATGAACTTGTTTTTAAAAAGATTTGGTTTAAAACAAAGTTTTCTTATTTCTATAATAGTAGCAATTTAAATAAGTAGTCAAAATAACTTACTTATCAGGATGAATAATTTACTTCTTCAGGATGAAGGATGCAAACATTTCCTCAACACTGGGAATAAGAAAACATGCTGATTTTCTCTACAGTTATGTGCCTAGTTGGCTTTTCGCATTGTCAGAAAACAGATGAGAGATAAATTAGGAGTTTTCATTAGCTGAGATCTTTACAGGTTCTACTGGACATTTTGCAAGTGTCATTGAAGACACTAGCTCTAGGGCTCTGTCCAGACTTAACCTAGGATGGTTGCTTTAGTTTTCATACAGACCCCTATTTCAGTTAGCTCAATTACAGTATTACTGTGGTACTCCTGCTATTTCTTGTATTCCCTATTTGGTCCCAAATAGAGGCATAAGATCCTAGTGAAAAAGCAGCACACTTAACTAGAATTGCATCAGAGAGAGTGGCCACTCATTAGTTTTGCCTTTCAGTTGGGGCAGTATTAGCCAGTTTGGTTAAAGTTCAGAAGTTCAGAGGTGTCCAAATTCTTTTCCTTCATCTCCTGCAGGAGTGCCTTGCTTTTTGTACCCTGGCTCCCAAGGTCATCTAAGAAGAGCAACTGGCTAGATCAGCTGCCTGCAGCTAGGAGGTTTTTTTTGTCACTATACACAACATCTTTTATGCAGTTGGGGTTTGATTCATTGAAAGATTGTCTCACACTTTTATGTAATACTGTAAGTGATACTCCTATTATGCTTGAAAATAAATTCAGTTCAATGTTACAAATGGTTCTTTTCCTTTCCTCAATTCACCAGCCAAGTATGCTGGTATTATTCTCCAAGAGAATAATGCATATGTATACCAAACTTCACCAGTATTTTTGTTCATCCAAGAAAGTTGGATGGAAGAGTATGCCACAGAGTGAAAATAAATGCCAGAAAACTTCATTACTACAAAAACACTGCACAATGAAACATTTTCAGTAAACTCTGCTGTTTATACACAGCTACAGTTGAATAGCAATTTCTGCAAAGCCCACCTACTTTCTGTTGGTGGTGTAACAGGGGACAGACAATTACAATGTAGGTGCTTTCCCAATCTTTTTGTTAATGGAATTCAGCATTGGTGGAGGGGGGACACACAACCACTTTAAAACAACCCCTGTATTCATCTATAAGAGTACTGCAACGTACCACAAGAATGGCTCAAAGCACTTTACCAACATGCTGGATTTGCCAATGTTGAGATGGCTGCTCTCTAAAACAATAGTTTAAAAGCTATTTCCATCTGGGCTAGATTCCATCACTCATTCTCATGCTGAGCATACCTTATTCAACAATTAGTTCCACTGACTGCAACTCAACATGAATAAGAGCAATGGAATCCGTCCCTCTCAGTATTAAAATACAGCTCACTAAGTGTGAACAGAGCAAAGCTACTAACTGAAGTATAAAACTAGTGCCATATAAAACCCCTTCAAACACTACTGGTAATGTTTGACCTACTTCTACAATAACCTTCTCCTTTAAGAGTTGGTACCTTCTGAAATGTAGGTACAGCTTCCTCCATGGTTTCCAGCACTTAAGACTGTATTTTACCTTAAGCAAATTTCAGCATAACAACCCAACATCCAAATTTTTCAAAGCAAGACTTACCTCTTATTTTTCTGGGAAATGCTACCATGTCCATTTCTCAGGCTTCTCATACTCATCTTCTAGCCAAATGTATCCACAGATTCTCAGAATTTAGGTCTTTCTCTCTCCCTTTTCCAAAATCACATTCTGGGCTCTCTGCCTGAAAAGACAGATAAATTCACAATCAGCTGTTTTCCCAGTCTCTATCTCCTGAAAAAGAAAAGAGAAATCAATCAGTTACTGTAGATAATAAGCTCTTCTTGTCCACATGCTGCTTCTGCTGAGAGGGCACATATGCTTGTGAATATGGTCTCAGATTTGTTAATAATACCTGTCTGTTGTGAGTCTGTCCACGCTTCTCAGCGTAAGTACAATCTGCCTCTGACTTCCCATCTTCCTTTTCAATCACCTCCTGAAAAAAAGGAGATGAAGGATGAAATGTGGAACAGGTGTAAGGGCAACAGTGCTTATAGAAACTTTACAAATTCTCCTTCTCCACTGAATGCTTGTTCATATACACTCTCAGTATCTGTACTTCCAAAGCGATGCCCAAACCATCCAAACACACGATCTGGGGCAGCTCTGAATAGCTAGTTCCCTAAAGAGATTCTAAACTGGAATCTCTGGAGAGACCTAATCTTTACTGAAATTAAGAGTTACAGCCACAGAGGCTTCCAAAGAGGTTTAACAATAGAATATTTGTAATACTTGCCATAAGCACTAGCTACGGTTCCTGACTCTCAGTGAGGAATGCACTTAAAGTCTCCAAGTGGAGATCATCCTGTCTTTCGTCCTCTTCACTATGGCCACATAAAATTGAGAAAAGCATCTCAGGATTTGTTCTTTGCAAGGACTTTTTTTCAGGCCCCACTGTACAAGGCAACATCTTTCTGGACAAACCTGGAAATAGCAGAAAGTGGATGTTAGTTCTGGTGGCAGCAGCAGGGAATCACAGAATTGTTAGGGTTGAAGGGACCTCTGGAGGTCATCTGGTCCAACACCAGAGGAAGGTGTCCTCAAGGGCACCTTCACTGGAAGATCACTGCATGGAATTCACCATTTGGTCATGGCCTTCTCCTGACCTTTGCACTTGGGTGAGTTCATGCACTTAAGCGCATTCATGGGCAAATACTGGCAAACTCCTCAGAGTGCTTGTCAAAGTTTCACCATTTGTTACCACATTGCCCAAGGTAACCACTATGTGCTCAAGTCCCAGAGTATCTTTTCCTGGGGTAACATACAAGCTAGAAATGAGCAGTGGCAGAACAGGCCACAATACTGACTAAATATTAGGTAAAATTACCTTTTCCACAGATTAAACCAATGGTCTGGAAAGATTTTAAGTGTCTAGAGTGGGTCAGACTGCCAGCACCAAGCCTTCATATCTAAATTTACATGTTTAGTTGTTACAGTATGTTACAGCATACAACTATTTCTCATTTATATTTACTTTGCGTTATTGTATACCTTGCACTACTTTGAATACAAATTATTTTTACTTTATTAGCTGTTCAATAAAGATTTTAAAGTAAATCTGTGTATTCCTTCTGGATCAAAGAACCTGTGTAATAACAGTGAAGTGTTTCCACAAGTTTGCCACTCTGCCTCTCAGAGACAGCTGGGAGATACATTTCTAAATGTGTAAGGGTGGTCAATAGCCAATCTCCTTGGGACATATCGTTTTTCAGCATTGGATACAGTGAAAGAGCGGACTTGTACAGAGTCCAAAACATATAGTTTTATCTTTAAATAAAACTTTTATCTTTTGGGGATAATGATAGAAGGTGACTTACAGTTCTTATTGTTGTCTGTACTTGAAAACATTTAAGTAAATAGAAAATGGGGACTGCAGATTAGGAGTTTTTGCAAAAAACCAGATCATATACCAACAAAAGAAACCACCATCACGACAGCCCCTATGAGAAATCATAGGCACAGGGATTGGGGATTGATCATTGATGGATGTCTTTTACCTTTTCAGATTCTGTCAGTCCTTGCCCCACTGAAGACAGAGCTTTGCCATTGATCTTGAAAGAGTTAAAATTTCACCAATATTTATAACTGCAGAATAGAGATTAATTGTAGCTCTTGGTACATTAAAAATATGCATAACTATTTCAACCATGAAGTCAATGAAATCATATAGTTGAATTACTGAAGTGCCTCTGAAAAGAACCTAATTTCTCATCTCAAACGATATTCCAAAAACAGAGTAAAAACTCTTAGCACCCTTGAGAGGCGTTACCAAACCCATCCTATTTTTCCAAGCTCCAAACTGTCACTGCCATCCAACTGCAGTGTGAAACGCCTCTGCACGGGGTGGACTCCACCTCTGCAAAGGTTCCAGAATAAAGGTAAATAGAGGCTCGAGCTGAAAGAGGAACCTGAAATGTGAATTTACACAAGGACACCTGATTTTCGAGGGAAAGGCCGGCGCACTCCACGGCCCTCGGCCACAGCGGCTTTTCCTGACGGGAAAAGCCGGCACTGCCCCCCACAGGCGGCCCGGCCGCCGTGCGGGTCCCGTGGCCACGACCCGCCCGTCGCTCTGCTCCCGCACGGTCCCGGCTTTCCGCGGTGCCTCGGGGCTGTGCGGGGTGGCTCGGTCCCGGCTCTCCGCGGTGTCCCCGGCCCTGGCACCGCCCGCTCTCACGAATGTCTCGGCAGTAGTTACCCTCGTGGCCGCAGAGCCGCGGCCGGCGCGGAGAGACCCGTCCCGGCGCTGGGGGCTTCTTCCCTGGGAGAAGCCAGCGGAGCCGCCGCCGGTGTGCGGTGGCGTGCGGGAGCAGCGGGGCGCGCCGCTGTCCCCCCGGGCGGGCGGCGGTCCCGGCACCTCCGGGCATCGGGGCGCCTCGCTCCCCCTGGCGTGCCGGCGGCGCGGGCTGCTTAGAGCTAAAAGCAGGGGGGAAAAGAGCGCTCCGCGCAGCCGAGAGCCCGGGGCGGCTGGGCTCGGGGCTGCCCCAGCGCCCGCGGAACACCGCGCCCCCCCCGCCGCCCCGGTCCCCGACCCGCCCGGCCGCGCCCCCCGACCCGCCCCGTCCCGTCCCGACCCGCCGCGCTGGGGGCTCGGCCATAAATACGGCCTCGAGTGGCGCTCCAGGACCGGCGCGGCTGGGGAGGGGGCCGGGGCAGCAGGCAGCGCTGGTGGCCTCGCCTGGGAGAGGCTGCGAGGGTCTCTGCTCCACGCACCCGCCCGGCCACGGAACCGCCCGGTGGAAGCCCCCTCCTTTCTGATCCCCTCGCTCTCCCCTCTGGCCCAGCCGCTGACCCGTCTGCCGCCCCCATGGACTTACTGGGCCCCATGGAGATGACGGAGGGCTCCCTCTGCTCCTTCACGACTGCTGATGACTTCTATGATGACCCCTGCTTCAACACATCGGACATGCACTTCTTTGAGGACCTGGACCCCCGGCTGGTGCACGTGGGGGGTCTTCTGAAGCCCGAGGAACACCCGCACCACCACGGACATCACCACGGGCACGAGGAGGAGCATGTCCGGGCACCCAGTGGGCACCACCAGGCCGGCCGCTGCCTGCTGTGGGCGTGCAAGGCTTGCAAGAGGAAGACCACCAATGCCGACCGCCGCAAGGCCGCCACCATGAGGGAGCGGCGGCGGCTCAGCAAGGTCAACGAGGCCTTCGAGACCCTCAAGCGCTGCACCTCCACCAACCCCAACCAGCGCCTGCCCAAGGTGGAGATCCTGCGCAATGCCATTCGCTACATCGAGAGCCTGCAGGCCCTGCTGCGGGAGCAGGAGGACGCTTATTACCCTGTGCTGGAGCACTACAGCGGGGAATCAGATGCCTCCAGCCCCCGCTCCAACTGCTCCGATGGCATGGTGAGTGCCGCAGGACTCCCTGCCACCATGGTGTGCTGGACATTGTCGGTCCAAGCCTGAGCAGGGCAGGTCTCCTCTTCCTGCCTTTCCTATAGCAGCTGCCTTCTGTACCTCTCCAGGCAGAAGACAAAGTCCTTTCTTATGCCTTGAATTCCCACAGCAAAGGGAGGTGGGGTTCCCACATCCCACAATCTCAGGGAAAGAAGAAAAATCTCTTACGCACTTTTTTCCAGGGATGAGAAGTTAAGCAGGTCCCCCTGTGTCCTGGGGACTTCGGGAAGCTTCCTGGGATGGGTACCTGGGGGCATGGTGAGGTCTGAGCCCTGCCTGTGCTCCTGTAGCTCCTGAGGCATCTCTTGTTTCCATCTTCTGCTGTATCATTATCTTTGAATCCTCTACGGATTCAAAGCAGAGAGGAAGGGCCCTCTTGGACATAGTAGTTACATGGGAATCTTGTTTTCTGCCGTTCATCAGGATAGCAGGAGGAGGGTCTAAGCAACAGGAGTTGTTTTTCTTGACCTGTAAGAAAACTGTTCTCTATTTCTCTTCTCACTAGCTTCATCCCCTCAATAGACATTTACCAGCAATAGGAAGGAGAATCCAGGCTTTCAGTGATGTTTGTACGTTATGGGGATGGGAGAAGAAGGGTGGGGGCCAGAGAGGGTATCTCATCATCACATCTTTAGACTGGGACTATAAGTGCAGACTCTGGTCTGATTCTAGGGTGTGGGACACAGTGACTGGAGAGCAGGACAGATGTCTGGATGGGATATCAACAGCATTTTAAAATTGGAGATTGTTTTCTGTGCTCTGGTGGAAATAATCATTACTGAGTTGAATATCTGTGATAGTTGACAGACTGGAAAAAAGATTTACCCAAATGATCCCTCTTCAAAATACAGCCTCTTTTAAACACAAAGAGTAATTTCATTAGGGATTAAAGTAATGGAAACAAACATATTGGTCAATGTTTTGGAGCTTTTTCTGAACAAAATGGAAATGGGAAAAGAAACTAAAGGAAATACAAAGGGATAAGGGTAGACAGAAGCTTTTTAAGAGGAACTCATGTTTTGAAAAATCTTCAAAAACTAACTAAAAGATCTCATTGCCCTTTCAGTTTCCCTGTTGTAAACTGAAAATACATGTAGGGCTGTATCTGATCAGAATGCTGGAAAGCCTCATATCATCTGTAAAGCTTCAGCATTTGATGCAATAGTGGTAACTTTCCTGTGGAACAGCTGTGCCACATAAAATATTCTGAGGTGGATCCACTTATCTTCTTCCTCATTCGAAGAAACTACAACTTGACGGCATTTCAGCCAGGACTGGAATGATGGCCTAGACTAAAGATTGAAATACTGGGATTTCTGTAAGTGCAGTGACCTCACTCAGATTTCTCTCCTTTCCAGATGGAGTACAGCGGGCCTCCGTGCAGCTCTCGCCGAAGAAACAGCTATGACAGCAGCTACTACACGGAATCACCAAATGGTGAGTACGTGCCGTAACGGCAGCGTGGAACACGGAGACAGAGGCAGGCAGTGCAGCAAACTGCCCTGTACCTGCTCTGTCTCCAGCTGGGCTGAAAGAGGAACCTGCCTTTCTAGCCAGCAAGCTGTTGCTGCCGAGAGAGGCATTGAATTTCCTCTAGATGTATTTGCAAATACAAGGATATGTTATAGCCGCGTTTCCTATTTTGCAAATACAACATTTGGGTAAAAGTATTTTCCTCTCTGCAACTAAGTTTCTGTGTTTAACCATGTTTTACATGGAGACTCTTCCTACTCTATGTGTCATTGGTCCAGAGTGCAGAAATTCTGGATTGATTTCAAATCTTCACTTTCTACGGACTAAGTGAAGCCATGGCCTCAGAGCAGCACATTGTGGTTGGGCCTCTCTTCCATTTTGCAATTACAATCTCTGTTTTCTGATAATTGGCATCCTTCACTAATATTAATTTCCTCTGAATCTTCACATACATATGTGTAACTGCCTACTAATGTTAAGTACTCACTGGATAATCTGAGCACCTTTTTGTCTGTTTTTTAGATCCAAAGCATGGGAAGAGTTCTGTTGTGTCCAGTCTCGATTGCCTCTCAAGCATTGTAGAGAGGATTTCCACAGATAATTCCACATGTCCTATACTGCCTCCAGTGGAAACTGTTGCTGAAGGGAGTCCCTGTTCCCCCCCAGAAGGAGTGAGTCTGAGTGATAGTGGAGCCCAAATTCCTTCCCCCACCAACTGCACCCCACTTCCCCAGGATAACAGCAGCAGCAACCCCATCTACCAAGTGCTGTAAGGGCTGGTCCAGCTGGACTGCACTGAAAACAATTTGCTCCATCTGGCCATGCTTGAGACCTGCCTTCTAAGATTGAAGACTTCTTAAGACTTGTTCCAGTTTTAAAATATCACTCAAAATTCCTTCAAATATATAACTTTTCAAACCTGTATCACTTCAAAATACACATAGTTATTTATTGGTTGTTAAAGTTATTTAATATGACTAGAGATAAAGTTGTATACCACGAAATGGCCAATGTTTAATCTGGGCTGTGGGGAATAGGAACCTGGCTCTTGAATGTGGAGGAAAATAGAAATCTAGAACAGTAGTGGCATGAGAGATCCTTCCTATTACTCCTGTTCTGGCCAAAATAAGGTTGTGGACCATTTTTTTTTAAATTTTTTTGTATAATTGTAAATAAGAGTTGCTTTGCAAAAAAAAAAAAAAGGGAAAAAAAAGGAAAAGAAAGAAAAAAGAAACAAAATCAAAAATTAAAACAAAAAGGGGGAAAATTTAAAAATATTTAATATTGCTTGGTTTGTTGTGTCAAACTTTAACTTTATATATTTATACGATGTGATTGCCAAGAATGTTTTCAACAGTATTCTAAATAAAGACCCTTATTTATAAAATCCGTGGTGTTATCTTGACTTTCATTAGGACTTCTAGAATTACTAGTGCCTTTAGGAGTGGTATTAGATTGCTGCCTTGGCAGGAAGAAGATACAGGCTCTGATTCAGCAAAGAAATCAAGAACATGCTTCAGTTGCACTACTTTCAACTACTTTGCATAAATATGTTGCTGAAAAGGGATCTACTTTTCCCATATTCTATCTTGGTGATTTCTAAACCAAGACTTGAGCATAACAGGTCATTATTAAAGGGATCAGTAAATAAGCATGTTTCTCCTCCTGCCCCCAAAATTTACAATTATATTATAGGACTTGATCTTATAAAGATGTATTGAAACTAGGGATCACAAAAAATTAGACTCTCCAAATTCCAGTGCAGCTGTTGAAACTTAAAGTCATACAACAGTATCTCACAAGACCAAGTACTACATTTTTGGACAAATGTTCCCATTTTTCATTCAACTTCTAATTTTCAAGTGTTTGTACCACACTCATGTATTCTCGGGTATTAGAAACTAATTGCAAAGGATTTTTTGTCATAAAGTTCAAGTTATAGATCACAGTTTTCCTCAAGTTCAGATTGGAATTTAGGCCAAAGATAGGCAGTTTTAATTTGGATTTGAACTTTATGCATCTCTGGCAGCACTACTCCAGGGATTTACTTCTTGTTTAGAGCTCTCTAAAAATAACCAGTGGGCTGTGTTTCATTCAGTATATATGTGTAA